CCCGGAGCGGGCGGGGGCGCGGGGGGTCCGTCGGGGCGCGGGGCGCAGGGACCGGCGGCGGAGCCGGGCGGAGGGAGTGCCGTCGGGACGGGCGGTTACCGCATCCGCCCCGGGAGCCTGACAGAGGTACACGAAACGGCCCGAGCTGACAAAACCTGGCCATTGTCTTTCCGAAAATTATTGTTGCTTATTGTGATTTTTGCTTAACACGTCCGCGGATGACGGCGCCTGTAGCTGGATCCACTTAACTGTGTTGAAATGTTATTCTTAGACTGAGGTTGGCTTTATCCCCTTATGTCATAATTACTAAACGAGTGGGATAATGACACATAGTATTTCGAAAAGGTCACTTGATTGCAGGTAAAAGTCTGCTTGTAGCTCCACACGAGATGTGAATTGCTTTAAAATGTATCATGTGTGCTCAATTAGGTGCTCAGCACCACAGGACCAAAGCTGCTTTCCCTACATGAACTAACAATGGAGTTGCTGACATTTTCACTGATACAGGGGCATTTTGTTGTATCAACTGGCAGAACGAAAGGTCTCGATCCTGCAGGTTTCTTTTGAACACTTCACTTAAGGATTTTGGTGCAGCCATTGATGTGAACCTAAGAATCGTAGTACTGCACTTTGTGCAATCTGTGCTTTATCCTACAACAGTGAAAAAAACCCAAACATTAACCATGAAAACGTAGAATGAGCAATAAAAAGCGATGCATATTCCAAAAAGGAAAAGGAAAAAGAAAAGGAGGGAGCAGTTTACGCTACTATAGGTAGCCATATGTGTTGTGTGTTAGTCCTTCTGTCCAATGGGAAGGACTATTCCTGCAGCCCCATAAATGAGTACCACCGCCAACCCACAGGGCTTCACTACTGCATCCCATGGGAGCACTGTGTGGTGGTACCAGCACCACGGACTAATATGAACCACAGAAACAAACAGGAACTTTCCTGCCTGTGAGCAGAAACCTGGAAGACTAGAAATGACAAATTGGTTTTACAAAAATGAAAATTAGTACAGGGAAATTTTAGCTGCAGTTAATGCCCAGTCCTTGATTTTCAGTTTGCCTGGAGAGTATACCTTGCTTAACATGGTTTCGAGATCTGTGCCACGTTACGCCAGATCTCTCAGAGAACAGGACTGGCAGGTCCCTTCATGATTCTTCTGAGATATGGTATAACAGTTTTATACTGCTGTCTTTCCCATGGCCAGCTTATTCTAGGAAAAGCACATGGTCTAAATATCCTTCTGCCATCCTGATTTCCGCCTGGTTTAAGATTCTTGGGGCTGTTTGCAACCTTTGTGAATGAGAACAACCTCAATGTTTGCTAAATATAGGATGAGGTAAGTTCTGGCCCGATACCAAAGTAATCCGGGATCGTGACAGTTTCAAGTTCCTCCTCTGAGACCTGAACTAACCTTGTTGTCTTCTTCAAATCAATATGAATAGTGAAAAGCAGAGTGGAGAGTAAGGGGTGTGGGGTGTGGTTTGTTTTGATTTTTATTTTATTATTAAAACTTACCTGGCTTGAGAGTTTCTGTGGCAAATAAAGTTCTCAACCGGATTTAGAAAGGAGTTACCAAAAATCGCATGGTACCAGCAGCCAGAAACAGCACCATTAATAGCACGGTCATATGAAGAGGCCCGTAAATCTTTTTTGGGTGTGATTATCCACTGCTTTAAAGAAGTTAACTCTACACACCTGAGCCGTGATGACTTTTAACTTGTAACTGTTCCCTTTTAATAATAGTCTGGCTTGTAAAATCCCTTTTTAAGGCTCCACCAGGGAGGTGGTGAGGGGGAGTTATGAGGTAACACACGGGTGCCTTGCTTTGTAGGCACGAAGGAGACGGCGTTCATCTACGCGGTGACGTCGGCGGGCCTCGTGCACGCGGTGACGCGGTCGTGCAGCGCGGGGAACATGACGGAGTGCTCCTGCGACACCAGCCTGCGGCACGGTGGCTCGGCCAGCGAGGGCTGGCACTGGGGCGGCTGCTCCGACGATATCCACTACGGGATGGCCTTCAGCAGGAAGTTCCTGGACGTGCCCGTCAAGAACCTAACGGGCCAGAGCGGGAGCGGGCTGGCGGCCATGAACCGGCACAACAACGAGGCTGGGAGGCAGGTATGTGTCACCGTCGGGAAGTGGCAGCAGTCGCTTCTTCACCTTCATTGACCAAGTGACATCAACCAAACCAGGCCTGTCCTTGGCCGCAGGTACAGGCAGGGCCAATGGCAGGAACAGCACTAATGTCACCAAAGCAAATGGGCACAAACTGGGAATCAGAGCTGGTTTTAACTAACTAACTAAACTCCACAGGTTGAAATAAAACAAAACAAAACAAGAATTGGATCTGGAGTGCTTATCAGAGTATCATAAATAGGTATTTGATGTTCTGTAACAAACTTGAAATGGTCTTTTTATCAGCATGATGCATTAGGAGTTTTTTCACTGATTATTCTATTGTTATCATGACCTGCACTTTTAATCCTCTCTAATACTGAATGAGCAGGCAGACTGGACACGAGGCATCATTACCCATCCACAGTCTGGGGTCCATGGCTGAGAGCAGAAGTCTAAAATCATTCAGAGAGGAAACTGAGAGTTAACCTTTTATTTTAAAAGATGGGATGAAAATGATATCTCTATTTCAGAGTAGCCTGCTGGTTAGGGCACTCCTCAGGGAAGTGAGAGGAGATTGGCTTCAGATAGCTCTTCTTTAGCTCAAAGGGCTTCAAACTCACAGTGGCAGAAGAAATGTGCGTGTAGGTGTGTGACATTGGGTCTTCCTGTCCTGTTCTGCAGAGGATGATAAATGGGGGCAGAAACAGCCAATACAGGGAGATGTGAGTCTGTAATCTAGTGCTCGGGGCTTACATCTGGAATGGCAGAGACTTGGATTCTGGTTCTTGCTTTAGAATTCTTTTCTCTGCTTTACCTTGGAGTTTTTAACTTTGTAAGTCTTTAATGGCTCTCTCTGGCCCCATAAAACTTTAAATCCATTCTGCTCAGTGACACAGCTATAACTAAAGAAAAGAAACGGAGACCCTGTGGTTTTTGACTACACATACTGATGGACTCCATTGTAACTCAGCAATTTCCTGTAGCCAAAGCAGCATCAGTGGGTTTTACTGAAAAGAACTTTCCTGTCTTTCATGGATGGGGAACAGCCATAGTGAGCCATCGTAAGAACCATGGAGATATAATTGCAAACTATTTTAATTTAAGCTCATTTTTTTCAGTTTATAAGGTAATATATGTTTTTTAATTTAATTAAGTTACGTAGTTGGGAAACCAGAAATTTTTTCAGGGGCATAGGCCCTTTTCAGGACTGAAGTAGAAGAAGAAAACTTTAAACCCAGTTACTGTGATATTAGTTACTGTGGATTAGCTGCCAGACAACTAAAATCATCTCCAAGGAAAGGTGGCTTGTATTCGGTAGTAGGGGATGATAATAAGAGGAACACAAGATTAAGTGATCATTTCCTTAGGGAAAGAGCCAAGGTTCATTTATCATGTTTGTAGAGAGGAATAGTGAAGGGAGGAGATAATAATCTCCATGAAATTATCTCTTTTAATTTAATAATTTTTAACATATGGTACAGATAGTGAATTTTTATTTCAATACTCATGTTTGTCATTAGATAGTGCTGTTTTCTTGGATCAGGGTGACCGTGGAAGTGTAGGGAAGAAGACTGCAAGGCTCCAGAAAAGCTTTGAAGAGAGAGAGATGTGTTTAGGTGGCAGCGACACAGGTCTTCTCTTTGATAACCTGTTCTCTTGTCTGCCTTTAGCTTTTTGTTAGCAGCAGCAGTAGTTTGCTGTCCTTTTGTCTTCAGTGACAGTGCTGCCTTATGGTCTTCCCGTACCATCCTTGCACTCATCACTCGTTGCTGCAGGTGTGACAGCACAACTGCCCGGGGTCTCGTGCTGTGAGCTCTACCAAGGAACCCTTCAGCTTTGAATAAACACACACACACACACAGAGCCTAGAAGATAAACTTCTCTTTCGGTGTTGCTTTCTTTAAAGTTAGATTGGTTCCTTGATCTCATCTATAGTGGTCACATGGACTTATGTCATGAGGACAGGACTGACTGGCAAAGGAGAAGAGTGCATTCAGCCAAGATAATGTATTTTCTAACAGTGAGCTGTAGATAAAAGGCGTTGGAGGATGTGGTTAATCGAGTCTTCATTTTCAATGAATAGTATTTCTGACAGGATCCAGGTTAATCTTAGTTGATGGTTAGATGCATGAAAATCTAATAGATTCTGAGTCCAGATCTTTAATGTCATGCAACTGCAGTATCTTCTATTGCTATTCATGTTGAGTGGTACCTATTGCTATACCTGACTTCATGAAACCAGACTGGCTGTCGGTTTCCAGGTATGTGGTAGAATCTGGCCCAACAGGATCCATTTAGGACCTTTTGGGGTTTCAGGATTTTCACGATTCTGAGCTCTCCAATAAGGCACTCAAAGTACATCGTCACAGGCTTATTTGGTGCACACAATGCATACACTTGTTCCTTTTCCACAACACTGTGTTTTTAAAGAAACCCCATCCACTGCAAGCCTGAAAGGCCAGAAGACCCTTATTTCACTGGTTTTCTATCAATGGTGTATTTTGTTGTTCATTATCTTGGAAGAAAATATGCAGAGTATTTAGTCAGCTTCCGTGCATAAATATTTTGTAACTTAATGTCAAACTGTAGGATAAAGCAAATATTTTGACCACTGTCCAGACTGAAAGAGAATGTTTATTGTTGGTACTTTGGATTTCTAGCAGCAATATTAGCTGAAGTAAAGTTTAGCAGAACTCTTCATTTTTGTAATTTCAAAATCCTTAACTAGGAAATGTAGGAAAATGTTGACCTTCGTGTTTTGGGGCTTAGAAGAAGGATGTTTTGCAATATATTTTGGTACCTTATGACCTTTTGTAATAAATACTATCATGTTCCTGATTCTGTGTCTTGCAAGAGCAGCCTTCCAGGGACAATACTTCTGTGTTTGTTTGGAGTTACTAAAGGAACTGGTATGTGAAAAATTCTCTTATTCCTTTCCCAATTTCATATAAAATGTTCTTATACATTTCTATATCTCATAGTTATATCCAAGATATATAAATCTTAAGACATTAAGGGTCCTTTGACTGAGTTTTCCACTCTTTAGAATACTAACCTGAACCTCAGAAGATCCAGATTTCATTCTTCATTTTGCCAGAAGATAAATGTTCATGGTCTTTTAACATTGTAATGATTAGTGTACTTAGATGTGCATATGTGAGTTGGGTGCCTCTGTTCCTTATATGAAAGGATGAGGGGACTCAGGCACGATGGGTTGACTATTGTTGTAGTAGTATGTTTTTACTGATGGAAGAATTTTGCTCAGTTTTCCACTTCTGGTTAATTTATTTGATTGGCAAGACTTGTGTTTTCACATAGAATTAGCTGGGCTCATCAGAGAGTTTATTTTTGCTGATACTTGTGGGTTGGTAACAAACTCACCACCAGCCTGCAACTGTTCTTAAGTGCTGTACCTTCTGTAGGACATGTGCTTCTCTTCATGGATAGTCCTATTAGTTCTACCTGTGGCTTGAATTAGGCTGTTTGATTACAGGCATTGATTCTTGTTACAAAACAACTACTAGCAGCCCCTGTCTCACAGAGAACAGTGCCTGCAAACAGAGGGCTTAGCTTGGAGATATTAAACATTAATTGACATTAAGGGGTATGCAAACTGTGATTCCACTGACATTCTCCTTCACTGCAGACCAATCTCTGCTTTCTGCCCATCTGCCTGTTGTAGCCACACATTCCCAGCCTACGCCGCTCCCTCTGTTCATTGTATTGGAGTAGTGAAAGGAAGTCAGTTTAAAAATGATCTTTTTTTCAGGTTAATTTTTAATGCAGACCAGTGTATCCAGCTCATCACTTAACCCTCTTGTTGTGCTAGTACCACCAGGGCTGAGGGCAGCAAGTGGCAACAGGGGCAAGAGGAACTGCTCAGGTGGGCTTGTGGCTGAACACAACACTCGTGGATCCAGCTCAGTTCCACGCTGATTGTTTCTCACAAGCAGGCAGGAGGTTTTGTGACCAGCCTAAGAAAACTGAAAATCTGTCCCAGCCTGTACAGGACATGTCTATCCATTGTGTTTCTGTAACAGTGCTCCTCTGAAGTTCTCTGTGCAATTTTGTTCTTTAGCCAGACATTCAACTATGGGAATTTGTTCACTAAAGTTCACATGGCAGCCTGAGATCCAGTGGCATGTTTTGTGATCAGCCAAAGCAAGACGTCAGCTCCCTGTTCTGGCAGAAGAGGCAACCCAAAATATGTTGGAGTTCCAACCGGAAAGCTTGCCCATCCTAGAGCTGGGAAGCAATAGCCCGGGGTCATGCACAATTGTGATGACACCATAAATCATTTTAAAGACACCATAAATCATTTTAAAACAGAGTACATCAAAGATTCATCTGAGAATCCTGAGCAACATAGAATAAAAACACAAATGTTTGTAACTGCTATGGATGTTCTCAGGGCTTCTGCCCTCCATCACATTTGTAGTTCTTGCATTCGTCTGGTTGTCCATACACTTCTAATATATGCTGCATCTTTATATTTTGATATCAACCTGAGTCTCCAGCATCAATTTCTGCTCCTGTTTAGAAACTCCCTTTCGTTTTCATTAATTCATTCTCGGAGAAAGACTGCAAGTGTCATCTGCTGGGCTGCTTGCCCACATGGAAGTAGCTCACCCTTAGCCCCTAGCAGACATGTCTGTGCTTCCTCTGACAATTTCTGGATCCTTCTGCCTCATCCAGATTTTACTATGCCTGATTTTAGCAGTCTTGGAAGTACACTTCTTTCTCCAAGCCAAATAGTATATATTTCCCCTATCGTTTCTTCCCTAGTTAGTACCCTGTCATACTGCCACGAAAGCAAGGATTACATCTGTAACCTTATAAATCTTACAGCATAATGTGATTTCAAACTACTTTGAGATTCTAGTTACTTGCCTTGATACAAGTAACTGATCATTACAAATTGGAAATTCTATTAAATCCCTTCTGTTTGTAAATTGTGTGTAAAGTTTGTCTTTTGACATCGCATTTCTCTTTTCCTTGTCATTTTATTAGGCTATCTGTATTCTGTCAAAGACTTTCTGTCTCTGAATCTCAGAATCTCATCTGCCTCAATCACTGTTACATCTTAGCAATGCATATTCTGACTACCCAGTGATTCCCTTATTGATAGGTTCTTGAGATAGGAGCACAAGGTCAAGCCTGTCTATGCAACAGAAACTAGCCTGTGAAGGAGAGAAGATAAGCATCTACAAGAAGTCCTGCCAGTTGGTTTGCCACTGAAAAGAGTCTGTGTGTTCTCGGGGTGAGGGTCTGCTTGTTGCAGCATTCTTTGTTTCTCCCAGGATAGGGGACAATCTCCAATCCCACAGGCAATACATGGCCCCTGGAAATATCTCCACTACTGGTGCCTCACTTCGGCAGGGTTAGTTTGCACAGGCTCATGGCTCTTCTAGGTCAGGGCATACACCTGCTCTGTCTTGCTAATGGTTCTTTGAGTGCCTTGCTCTGTAGTAACCTCTACCAACAAATAGGTCCTGTTCATTCACCAAAGATGTTAACTCCAAGCAAACACTTTGGTCATGTGTATTTTTAATAATGTTTGTAGAGTTATATGCAAATACCAACTCGGGCTTGTGTCAATATCTTTGGGGCAGAACGTGCCAGGAATCCTCAGCTCCCACTGAAATCAATAGATTTAACCACGTAGGACTCACCCCAAACTTCAGTGACCACATTCACCATGATGAAAAATCCCAGTTTTACACACAGGGTAGAAACAGTTCTTTTTGTCTGTTCCATGCCTTGACTAGCTCTGAAGCTTTGAGGATGGCGATTGTGCTGCCCGAGCTACAAATAAGCAGGGACTTGAGTTTATTTCTGGTCCTGCATAGGGTCAGTAGGGCCTGGTAGGATTTCAGGGCTCTGATCTCACTGTAGGATCAAGACTTAGGAACGGGCACAAATGAAACTACTTTCTCAGGGAAAAGCGGAGAAGGGTATTAGATTTGTTTCCCCCTTTTTTTTTCTTCCCTACAACAGTTTGAGAATGACATAGAAAGTTACTGCTTGTTTACAGATTCCAGTTCTTTGAGGCTTGGTCTCCTATAAACTGAGCCAACATTCTTGTGTGCTGCAAAAGCTTAACGCAGGCTGCAGAGTCCCACTGTTGGTCAGACAGTTCTTGTTTAGCCCAGTGCTTGGGCGAGGAAAAGTAGCCCACCTAAGGGTATTATAATATTGGTCATAACTGGGGAAATGTTTGCTGAAACATTGGAAGTTGTAAAAGTAATATGTATGCAACTATCAAATGGTGTGAAATAGAGCCATTATGCAACTGGAAACACTAGAAAGCCATGATAGTACTTGTATGCCTAAGTTAGTTACAAGAAAAGGGCTCAGTCCTATAATTGAGAAGCACCTGCCATTTGCTCCAGAATACCTGAATTGAAGATATGTCTGCTGAGCTGTAGCAGCTCCTTTGATAGTCTTTCTCTGGAGCGCAGAGACACGAGCATCTTCCTGCTCTTCCAACCTAGGTCTGCCCAGAGGCTCCTCCAGGCTGAGCCCTTGTGCTGCTCCAGGTGTGGAGCCACCCTGGTCCCACAGACACTGTTCTGCAACCTAAAGCCATTCGTGGTCTTGATGGTAGCCTCAGGGCACACTTAAAAGATGGCATAGACCTCCCCAGTGAATGTCTTCCAATGTAGGAACCATGCTGCCACTGCCCTATGCCTGCTTCCCCTCCTGCTATTCCCCACAAGGGCCGTTTGCATTCCAGTGGTGGGAGGAGAAACACAGGATGTGTCCGTTCAGGTCTGTAGGATGCTCCAGAATGAAAAGCCAGCCAGAAACTCAAGCTTTCGTTGTTGTGATTCCATATTGCTGCGTTATCGCCGCTGCAAAGCGCAAATGCAGAGCACTTCTGAAGGTCGGGCTTCTCATAGCGGGGGTCCAGAGCTGCAAACCTGATTCCTGATATGCATCCTCCTGTGCTCTGGCTTCCCCATCACTGAAATGGCAATGGCAGCTGTAATAGTAAACACCCCGAGACCTCTGTGTTCCTGATGTCAGGCAGCATTCCTGATGACTGAAAGGCCATGTCCAAATGTCGTTCTCCCTTTGCTTTCAGGCTGTGGCAAAGCTGATGTCGGTGGATTGCCGTTGTCACGGCGTGTCTGGGTCCTGCGCTGTGAAAACCTGTTGGAAAACAATGCCCTCCTTTGAAAAGATTGGCCGCTTTTTAAAGGATAAGTATGAAAACAGCATACAGATATCAGACAGACTGAAGAAAAAGCTACGCAGGAAAGAGAAAAGCCAGCGAAAAATACCCATCGGGAAGGAAGACCTGCTGTATGTCAACAAATCGCCCAACTACTGTGTCGAAGACCAAAAACTGGGGATCCCTGGGACGCAGGGACGGGAGTGTAACCGCACCTCGGAGGGCTCCGACGGCTGCAACCTGCTGTGCTGCGGGCGCGGGTACAACACCCACGTGGTCAGGCACGTGGAGCGCTGCGACTGCAAGTTCGTCTGGTGCTGCTACGTGCGCTGCCGGAGGTGCGAGACCATGACCGACGTGCACACCTGCAAATAAACGGGGTTAAGCACAGCAAACACGGCCAACTGTCCCGCGCTGTCTGGCACACGCGGCGAGGCAGCAGTGACTCTTACCCATGGGATGGCAGGGGGTCAGCCTCGGGGGATGATGGCTCTGTCCAAACAACGGGTAGTCCAAGCCTTTGTGCCGTCAAAAAGCACCCGAGTGAACAGCAGCCTGCACACAGGGACAGCTAAAACAACAAAAAAGGACTCCCGATGACCCATTTGGACATGTAACCCCATGAGTGGGGACAGACACTAAACTTTCCAAGCCTTTAATAGCCACAACGTCATGAAGATCCACGTGGTCGGTGGGTACAGTGGAGAAAACTCAAGATCTCGTTAGCTAGAGACTGAAGAGTTAAGAGGCCGTGTAAGACACGTTAGATATAATCCTTATGTCTGTATTTTTAAAACTGGGACTAGATGGCCCATTTCTGCAAGCTTTATGGAAAAAAAAAAAAAAAATCTGTGTTCCTGATGTCAGGCAGCATTCCTGATGACTGAAAGGCCATGTCCAAATGTCGTTCTCCCTTTGCTTTCAGGCTGTGGCAAAGCTGATGTCGGTGGATTGCCGTTGTCACGGCGTGTCTGGGTCCTGCGCTGTGAAAACCTGTTGGAAAACAATGCCCTCCTTTGAAAAGATTGGCCGCTTTTTAAAGGATAAGTATGAAAACAGCATACAGATATCAGACAGACTGAAGAAAAAGCTACGCAGGAAAGAGAAAAGCCAGCGAAAAATACCCATCGGGAAGGAAGACCTGCTGTATGTCAACAAATCGCCCAACTACTGTGTCGAAGACCAAAAACTGGGGATCCCTGGGACGCAGGGACGGGAGTGTAACCGCACCTCGGAGGGCTCCGACGGCTGCAACCTGCTGTGCTGCGGGCGCGGGTACAACACCCACGTGGTCAGGCACGTGGAGCGCTGCGACTGCAAGTTCGTCTGGTGCTGCTACGTGCGCTGCCGGAGGTGCGAGACCATGACCGACGTGCACACCTGCAAATAAACGGGGTTAAGCACAGCAAACACGGCCAACTGTCCCGCGCTGTCTGGCACACGCGGCGAGGCAGCAGTGACTCTTACCCATGGGATGGCAGGGGGTCAGCCTCGGGGGATGATGGCTCTGTCCAAACAACGGGTAGTCCAAGCCTTTGTGCCGTCAAAAAGCACCCGAGTGAACAGCAGCCTGCACACAGGGACAGCTAAAACAACAAAAAAGGACTCCCGATGACCCATTTGGACATGTAACCCCATGAGTGGGGACAGACACTAAACTTTCCAAGCCTTTAATAGCCACAACGTCATGAAGATCCACGTGGTCGGTGGGTACAGTGGAGAAAACTCAAGATCTCGTTAGCTAGAGACTGAAGAGTTAAGAGGCCGTGTAAGACACGTTAGATATAATCCTTATGTCTGTATTTTTAAAACTGGGACTAGATGGCCCATTTCTGCAAGCTTTATGGAAAAAAAAAAAAAAAAGAAAACAAACGAAGATGGGGAAATGTTCTGCTGTTGACCATGAAGCACTTGCTTTGCAGCTGCTTTGCATATGGAGGAGGGTCCATCAACATGGAGCAAGCCATGTCATAGAACCATAGAATCATAGAATGGTTTGGGTTGGAAGGGACCTCAAAGATCATCGAGTTCCAACCCCCCTGCCATGGGCAGGGACACCTCCCACTAGAGCAGGTTGCTCAAAGCCCCATCCAGCCTGGCCTTGAACACTTCCAGGGATGGGGCATCCACAGCTTCTCTGGGCAACCTGTTCCAGTGCCTCACCACCCTCACAGTAAAGAATTTATTTCTAGTGTCCAGAGAAGAGGGGCTGGATCTCAGCTTGGTAAATGTGAACAGCATACCAAATAGCAGCCTTGGGAGTTTTTATAGGTTGTCTTTCAAATACACAAAGGACAGGTCTGAGGAGGGACAGAAATACAATTTACTATTTGAAGGAAATAAATTCCTTTGCAGGCGTTTCCTCAGTATCTGAACACACAATTTTCAAGTCAGCTGGTCATCACTCCACTGTTGGACTGGATGCAATAACCCGCCACGTTCAACCATCTCGCTGGTGGTTCACCATCATTTCCACAATTAACCATACAAGATTCAGCCCAAAGAAATTTGCCATAAAGTGAAAGGTTTTTTAAAACATTGCTTTCTCTTCTAGAAGCAGCAGCTAGAATTTTTCATTAGGTTGCATCCTAAGTAAGTTCAATGCACAATGTAATTTATGGATTGGCTCACACCACTAAAACATTTAAAGTGGTATTGATAACATTTTCTCCCCCTTCATATGTTGGCTCAATGTTATTTTACATCTGTGAAAGGTTGTTTATTTTTATGCAATGATTTAATGCCTGGCTTAAAAAGCATCATGTGAAAGGATTTCTGTTGTTTAAATGTGCAAAGACCTATTTTTGATAAGACAAGAAAGTTTATATTTTGTAAATATTTAAATTATGCAAGTTATGTAAAAGGTTTCCAAAACTAATGTGATAAGATTACAGCCTTGACATTTGTTGGTTAGATATTTGTTACTATTGTAGTAGCCTTTAATTGATTTTTATTTGCATGTGCAGGGGGAAATTAGAGAATTACATGAATGTTCTTTTTTTTTACCGTCAGGGTGGTTATAACTATTGCAGTTAATACACACTGATGAGAAACGCTTACTATGATTTTCTAAATGATCAGCTGATTAATATTCTGTATTCTTTTCTTTTCTCCTTTTAAATCCATTTTACAAACAGTGAAATCCTGGCTCCAGCAGTAAGTGCAGAACTCCCACTGACATCAAGGGGACTTGCAAGGGTTTGCAATCCCTTAACTTGTTCCAAACTGACAGTCAGTTTCTAGAAAGAAATCAACATAGACAGTTTGGTTGAGGCTTTCAAAGTTACTTTGAGGAATTAATTTTCTAGCTGTCATTTATTTTCCCATGAAAGATGGTCACCAGACTCCCTGTCACTCTTTACTGGGTGTGTAGGTCAGGAAGAAGCAAACAAAATCTTCTGTGTTGTGGTACTTCACTGCCATATGTGGTGTATCTTAGGAACATCAGTTCAGCAACCACGAAGTCCTTTATCTGCTAGGATTTTTGGACCTTCCCTTCAGATTTGGCCCATCTGTCTCCATTGACCTGGCCAGATAATTATCCTGCAGCCACAAAATCTGCTGTCTATGGGAAGGGAGCTGAGTGTACCATTTGCTGTCACAGGAAGATTCAACACCCTCCATGTGAAAACTGGGATGGGGAGGACACAACCTGGTGGAAGACCCCAAAGAAAGGGTTGTAAACCCCAGGTTGTTCCTATCTTCCAGCAATGAAAATAAACCCACAGTCTCCACAGGCCATGCCACAGCACCCATCGGCAGCACGGATGGGACATGCGGCTGGTCTCTTGATATTAAGGTGTCTCACTCTCTGAATCTGCCCTGTGTCAAGCTGCTGGCAGAGGTAAGTGCCTCAGTGCCTGACGTGTGGCTGCTCCTAGCAGTGCCTCCACTGAGTTTGGTGCTGAGGTCACCACCGTTTTGCTGTTGTGGGGCTCCAGCAGGAACCAGCCGCTGGGAGGTCCGTGTGGAGGCCAAGATCTTCTCTTGAAGCAGCCCTGATCTGTGTATGAATGTTGAATCAGGGTATGAATGTTGTTTTGTAGTGGCACTAGGGCTAAAGACATCTCTTGCAGTATTTATTCCACATTTATTCCACAAAGCTGCCTTTGCTTCTTCCACACTCTGGAAAAGCTCTCTTTGGGCGAGACTGAGAGGGAGAACCATCTGTAAGACAGCATGCCTCTGCTCTCAAAGGGGAGCCTACGTATGACATATGTGGCTCAGCTCCTTCTGTGGGCATATGGCTCTGGAATGAATTTAATTCTCTCAGTCTAATAGGGTGGGGTGTTTTTTTTTTTTTTCCAGTGCTGGGACTGGAGGCTCAAGGTTGTTGACTTTGAAAACAGAGTCTTATAATACTCTTGTATAGCTTTGCAATAATGCATACTTTCTGCTTCAAAGTAGCTACATGTGTGCTTATCTGAGCAAGTGAGATTAGGAAAAAAAATTGGAAAGAAATTCACAGTTTGAGTGGGGGAGAGGTCTTATCTCAGTCCTGTTCCCTCCCAGTGCCCTTTTATGCACGGAGCAGCAGTTTGTGAAAAGTAGCAAACCTATGAAAAATGCTGCAAGTTTACTTTTTGAAGAAAGGATAATTGTAACCTCCTCTGAAAGTGAAAAAGATGTGTGACATTTTGAAAACAGAAATGCACGTGCACTCCTGTGCTGCATATTTTAAAATGAGCAAAGTTTTGTTGTTGGCTGGAGTGCTGGCGTCCCCAGAGGAGCTTCTGCAGGAATCCAGCTGGTCAGCCTGTCCACACGCCAGCCAGCAAATGAAGGACACCATCTTGTCCTTGCCTGTTGGAGGTCCTTTGTCAAAGGATGGGTAGTAAATGGAGATTGCCTCCATTGCCATCAAAATGTCTTCGGGCTGGGCAGCACTTTTCATGAGTGACAAGTATGTGAAACGTATGTGTAAGGTAAGCAGTGACAATTAGCATTGGTCATTAGAGGAAATGGTGTTTAAAGGACATCCACTTCGGCTGGGGTTTCTGACAGAGCTAAGGCGCCTGATTTCATCAAAGGATGAGGTTTCACAAGACTTTAGGGTGGCACTTCATAGGTCAAAACTGTCATGGTTAGGTCATGTGAAGTGCTGGAGCCACACCAACTCATTCTGCTGGCTAAAATTTATTAGAAGCATGTAAAAGGATCATCCCACTGTGTCATACCTCCTGCCACTGTTTGTCTGAGCCTGCTAGCTTATGGTAGATATTACACAGGGTAGAATATCAGGAAGTATCAGAGTGGAATAAATGTTATTATTTGTTCCAGATAATCTGCCAAAGAAGCTAATTGTGAATCCTCTCCTTATTGTATCCCATCTGTCCTGCCAGGTCATCTGGAGTCCCCAGACCCTGTAGCAGTAGTAATGGTGAATGCAGTACCGTGACTTTATTTCACGCAAGGGTTTGCAATAGCTGTTTTTAGGAGTTTACACACTCACACAATTTTTACTGTTAGCAGATCTGCATGGGCAGAAAATAGCTAACAATACCTAACTGAGAAACAGGGCTTCACACCCATATGTGGATTGAGCATCACTAAGGAGGGTAGTAGTAGTATTCTGACTATCAATGGGAAACTAGGGAGAAATTACTTGCTCAAAATCACTTGCAATAGCAGTGGTGGACCTAGGTTTTAAAAAAAAAAACAAAACCAAAAACCAACAAAAGGATAGGCAGGTCTCTGGATCATCAATGTAATGCTTTGGTTACCTGGTCACTGCATTTGTTTCTCAGCCTGCTTGGTTTGAAGACTGTCACCTGCCAGGTGGGACTGTACAGTAACCATCCCAGTCGTGACTACTGGGCAAGTCCTGCTGCAGCACCCAGTACAGTTTTTCAAGAAACAGGCAAAGACTGAAAGAATCAGTTGGCTAAAACTTCATTTCCTAAAAATGGCCTCCTATGGTTTGTATTTCTGGAAGTCAAATATGCTTTTTTCCTCACACACAAATAAGAAATTCATCCTGAAGGGAATGGTGCCTGTGAACTCCATGTTAATGCTGCAGATAATTAATGCTAAAATACCTATGACTGTCCCAGAGTGTGCTGTTACACTGAACCGACAACTGTAATTCCACAGGTAGTTCTGTTAAATAACTAATGGTTTACTCAGAGGAGAATGAAATGGGAATTAATCCTCTCTGGCCACTGTGTCAGCTCTGCAGGGTGGAAGTGCGGTGGCAGATAAGAACAGGAGACTGCCATTCGTTTCCCAGCCAGCAGATAAGGCTGACTGGTGATCCCATTGGCCCAGGCTGGAATTTGGGTGCCAGTGCTGACTGTGGATGGATGGATGGCCTTTGGTGGAGTGGAGCTATCGCTTTGTTTGCACAGCAAAGAGGTGCAACAAATAAAGTGTCTAGAAGAGTGAAGGCAGACACATGCGTGGAGTTTAGATGCACTAGTTGAACTGGAGAAAGAGAGATTCATTGCAGGGTGGTGCCACACACCTTATAAAACCTTCTGCTGAACCTGAGTCTGCAAGCAGGAGCACAGCTTGATCACAGCCTAAAAGATCAGAGCCCATCTCAGGGTTTTCCACATCATTTTCCTCTCAGCCTTCCTATGCTCATGACTATACAGAGTAATTTTAAATAAGCTGCACATTTTCCTTGTTAATACTTCAAGAATCATCAGCCTACCATCCATTTTTTGTATATATATATATATTTTTTTTTTTTTAATATCAAGTTATGTGTGTATCAGGTTGCCTTAATTAAAATATTGAAACTTCTGATTGGGTAAGACTTCTATAATCATATTCCCCAAAGCCCTAAAAATTTGTATTTGATCGTGGAGCAGAATGAAACACATTTCACGAGCATTTCTGTTTTCTAGAGAGAAAGCATGACACCACACTAGGGGTTAAAACCAGACCATGGTATTATTGATGTGGATGATGATTTACCCTCCGTGCTGAAAGGTACATTGTGCCTCGTGTCAGTAGTGCAGAAACCAGCTGACAACCGAAACAATGTCCCATTCTTCTGCATGGACCAATCTGCCCCATAATCTAGGAAATTAATTTGACACTCTATTGTGTCTCAGTATGTGCTAAATAATATTTTGACGTTAAACATACCGAGTTTTTAGAGGATCTATGTATCATTGAGAGAATCAACGTGCAGAGGAACACAATGGCAAGATACTATTCAATTCCAGTTTAAGATGTCCTATTTGGGTTTTTAAAAAAACAATTTTAGCTAGTCATTGCTGACTATGCCTATGGCAGCAAAACCAGAATTTAAACTTAGAGAATGTAGTTGTTAAGTTTCCTACTTGCTGATTTTGGAGCTTTTGGCTGTAGTTTCATGGCAGGCTGGGTTTGTCCACCAGGCTGGCTGAGCTCAGGGCTCCCCACCCCCTGCCCTGACCCCAGCCTGTCGATCGGTTCAATGGCACAGTCCACAGAAACTCCACAAACAATAGATTTGGCTCTGTTTTGGGGCAGTAAACTGCAGCAAGGACATGGAAGTAAGAACGGAGGGAGGTGACCAGGAGTAGCAGCTCCTTGAGCTGACTGGGCTGCCAGCATCAGAATATTGTCCAACTGTGGTTTCAAACGTCGTGTGCATTGAAAACTCCAGGCTTTTAACGTAAAACCAACCAACAAAACCAAAACCCGCACACCACGAATGGACAGTATTTGACAAAAATTCTGCAAACAAAGCAGCTAGCGAAATAAACCCATTTTAGTGATTTCTATGCAGAAGATTTAGGTAGAACCAAACCTTTGGGATTATGCAATGCTACAACCACCGCCTGGCGAAGTTTTATGACCCCTCACAGTTTGCTGACATAGAAGTCCTCTCAGGAAAACAAGCAAGCCACGTACATGAAGAAGGGTTGATGCCTCAAGGCAGGCACATTTTCCATTGATCAATGGTATTATGGCAGTACAACTGCAACTACCCGCTTTAAAAAGCCCTCCTTGCTGTTGGTCACTCAGGACCAAAGAGGACTAAGGCAGAAGAGAACAGCACCACATGTTCTGCTGAGACCATACTTGGCACAGTACAATTTTGACCACTTCAATTACCTTGAAATATTAGTCGGGCTTAGTGGGGTTTTTTCCCTATCTGCTGATTGTGCCGTTAACTGCAACGCTCAGAAACTACTCTAAACTCTTGCATTGTAGTGTAAGATCGGCAAGAGGAACAGAATTAACCATCTGCTTTGGGCTGCCTCCAGGGATCAGGAATCTCCCATAGAGGATGGAATGATTTCTGTGCATTTGACACAGAAAACAACATAGCTGGACTACTACAGTGCTCTATACTGATCCTTACCTCTCGCCTTATATATTCTAAAGCCCTGAAAGTTTTCATTTCTACGTACTTCAGAAGAAAGAATAATGTTCATTTTTTTACTAATACACTACAGAACGCAAGGTGTAGTTATCTACACTGCTTGTTAGGTGCTTTCAAGGCATCTCTGAGGGCTGAGATATAAAAGCCATAAATCAAGACATTTTTCCACCAAGTTTTCCAATGGGAAGGATGATTCAGCTGCCAAGATCTGGGAACATGAGGCTGTACTGATAAAGACAATGGTGGAGTACTCAAGGCTGAGGAACATAATTAGTCAGAGAGATTGCTGCAGCATTTGGTAGAAAAAAAAACATTTGCAGACTGCATTTCACAGAACAGCACTGCCTTCCACTGCCATCCATCAAACTCGAAGAGCAGACATGATTCCTCCTCAGCGGGGAGTGCCTTATGCTATGTCAATGAGGTTGTGGCTGTATCCTGCTATGGACAACACCCTGAGAAAGGAACAGGTCTTTTTGAAGGGCCAGGCAATTAAGCATATAGTGACCTATAAAGGATAAATGCAAGATAAAAGGAACTGGCTGCATGCTCTAGAAAGGAAAAGGTAGGGCCAGGAAGAATGGAAAGGAAATCTAAAGGAGCGTCATCCATTTTTAACTTCCAAAGAAGTAATCATTAATTTTCAGCAAAGAATATCTGGACGGTACGTGAGACAACCGAACTGGATGGACAGTTAAGCACAGGAAGAGATGTCTGAGGAAACTGTTTTAACCTGAGCCTATGAAGGATGTGTTAGATCAGAAATGTCACAAAACATCTCAAGTAGAACATATTCTCTCTTGCCATTTTTCATTTTTTCATCTCCAGGGAGGCAGGAGCAGGAGGTGGCCGAGCCCAGGTGCCTGTCCCTGTGAGAAGCAGGGTCCCTCCTCTCCCTAGCACAGCACCCAGAGCCACTGACACCTTGTGGCATCACTGAACCGGCCAAGAGCTGTTCTTGCACCTTCCTGCTTTGGCCTCAAAGTTCCCATCCAGCCTCCCAAGTTCCTTTTCTAATTTTCTTAGCCAGGCCTTTTTTATGAAGAAGCCTGGCCTTACCAACCTAAAATTGAAGATGATTTAATCAATAAAAAGTCCCTTGCTTGGTATCCACCTTAGCCATGACCCAAGTTTTTTAACCAAGGGGTTAAAAGAATCATAATACATTTACCTCATTTAGATTGAAAAAAAAAAAAAAAAAGGCACAAATTTAAAATATACAAGGACTAAACGAGGTTTGCCTTTAGTCTTATTTCCTCTCTATTTAATTTCATGAAAGAAATTTGAACTTTTTAATTTCATGAAAGATGAAATATTCATTGGCATTCAAAACCAAAAGAATGAGGACAAAATTATGAATGCTGAGAAATGCTTTTTCTCTTAAGCTCCTGCCAAGAATTAATTTCAAAATTATTTTGATATTATTCTGGATAGCAGCATAACCAACACTGGCACATACATCAACAATATTGCATTTCTGTGAAAATTCCAGGACTTAACAGAATTAGGTTTCCACAATAGCCTGATGTTATGAAATAGCAGTTATTTTCCAATTGACCGAAGCAGGGGGCTTACTTTGATGAAAAAATATACGTGATTTTGACATGTCCTCCTACACGAGAAAATCTGAAAGATTTAACAACAGCAGTTTCACTGTATAAGGTGCATTTATTGCTGTTCTACATTAAACTTGAGGGAAACACCACATTATCTAACAAGCTAGTTAAACATACAGAACAACTCAATCCAGTCTTACTCTGGTATCACAGGTTATTTATTTGACTTACAAGGTAAATCCCAATATTGCTTGAAATTTTTAGTGCACAGAATTAAAGTTGTCCGAGAAGACATCAACAATAACAGTATTTTGAATGCCACTGTGTGGGTTCCTGAAAAATACTTTGTGGCAATTGTCCCATGGTACTAGCTAGAAGTTTTTAAGTATTATACCAGAACTCACGACAAAGCTCCAAAAGATTACACTTAGTTCTGTGTCAGCCCCTATTTGGTGCATTACTGACACCACCAGTTATACTGTACTAACTCAGCTTCAGCAAAAGTTCAAGCTGCCCCCACTTTAAAGAAACCAAAGTTTCCGAAGAAAGCAGTGTTTTCTCACAACTCTCACACAAGCTAAAGAATAAGGACACTTCAACTTGGTACATTTTCTTCCATTTTAAAATAAAAAGAGAGGAAGGAAACATTGTCAGTTAAGTATAAATGTCACACATTGCACAACCCAAGATACAACGCTTTTTCACATCTCACCATAAGAACAAATTGCCTCAGCTCACATTAGATGTAAAACAGGTGGCCTACACAATTGTGTACCCTGAAACAACCCTCACTGGAAGGCAGAGACTGCTCTCTAACAGGCTCTTTGCGATGGGGAAATTTATCCTGATGTTAGCACTAGAAGAGGCAGCTGTTCCGTTACGCATATTTAGTACGTGACTGGCCACCAAAGCTGAACAGCCATGGGCAGAATCGATGTTGAAGCAGCAGCACAAGAACTGCAATAAAAACTGAACAAGTTAGGAACAGTACTGCTGCTTAACATCTCTCCTACAAAGTAAACATTTTAGAGTTAAGTACAAATCCTTCCAAGCTGCTTTTAAATGCTATTTATATATTTACTTTTATTCTCCCCCCAGTAAAAATAATTTCTTTTGTGCTTCTCATGACGTATCTTGTTACGCTATCATGTAGTCTTCCTTTGCTGATTATTCAGTTTTGATGGGGGACTACAAAATAAATTTCTTGTATCTTGTTACGCTATCATGTAGTCTTCCTTTGCTGATTATTCAGTTTTGATGGGGGACTACAAAATAAATTTCAGGAGCACTTGGTATTAGAGTAACCAAATAGCTTTAATAAAAAGTGATGCTGCCATTAAAAAGGCAGAAGATTAAAAAAAATTAAAGCTCTTTATTAACTTATCACTAAAATCTATAATATTCCACAAAGGTTACATACAGCAACATTACGCTGTTAAGAGGACAGTACAACATTTGTAAGGACCTGTATATTATCCGCATATGCAATTTATTAGCCAGTTGAGCTACAAGATGTTACTTACCACAGGCAAACTACTGTGCTTTTAAGAAACCTGCATAGAAATGATTTGATGTTTCTTTTATTTCGGACATATTTACAAAAACAACTTCTATGTGTGTTAGCAATAAATAATCCCAATATTCAAAATGTCAGTGCTCATGCACACACCGACAAGATGGCTGCATGCTTTAAAAATATTATTTACAGTACAGTCTCCTTCATAGCCCTCTCCTTAATAATAGCAGAAAGTGCATTTTCTTCCATATTCTTTCTTCTTTCCTTTTCATTTAGTCTTGCTTCTGAGGGATACAGCCTTCCATCTCAACAACTTCTGGCCAGCCTTCATACTTGTTTGTGTCCTTGTTGTTCTTTATGTGCTACAAATAGAAAACATCAATCTACCATTAACATAAAGTCATTTATCCTTTAAAGCTTTAACTCAAAGCTTTAAAAGACATTTTATTTACTTATTTTCAGGCCATGGACAAATACGACATCGCTATTAGGCTCTTCTGCTTTGTATCAAATATAACAATCTCTCAGTATTCACCACAGTGTAGCTTGCTCAGACAAGTGCATGCTAAAAACAGGGAAGTCATACTGGGAATACATTTTTAAAATTCATTATGGATGTTTAGGAAGAGACAAGCAAGGAAAAGACCAACTGCATTAAAACATGAATTATCAGGAAAAAATAAATAAGGATACTACATTTATAAGGCACTGAAAACCAATAGTAAGATTTTAAAGAACTTTAATGTTGAATGTTCACCTTTTTGGAATATTAGGACTTAATTTTTCCCCCAAGAAACGATCTGCAGTCATGTAAGACGTTACTGCCTCCAAGAGATTCCCATTGCTCCTGCACTAGTTCCCACTCCCTGGCAAAGCTGGGAATAGAGAGCACGCCTTCCTTACCCTCCCAGTACAAAGCTACTTTTACAGTAATTAAAGGCAACAAATGACTCATGTTGCATTGTAACAGCTCAAGTACAGGAACACATTCTGCTTCACAAATTTTGCTTTGGTAGCAATAATTTTTGACATAAAAGCAAACTGAACAGCTGGGAACACCAACACCTTAACTACCACTTACCTGTTGGAGGTCTACCATTGTTAGTGCATCTGAAATACAAGCGTTAGCTTTGAATTCTTCAGTTTAATTTGATTCATTTATAAGATAAATGATCTAGTTGTTGGGATAATAAGATTTTCCCCATCTAAGAATTTTTTTTTTCTTATTTGTGAAATCACCAAAGAATCTTTTTTGTGCATTTAAGAGGAGGAGGCTAATCAAAGAATAAATTTGAAAGTAACACTGTGTGCCACTACTGCAATAGATACCCATCTTCCACAAATGCATGGTATTTAAAATACATGTTACACCTTTATTAATAATAGCAAAGTGTTAAATTCCAGTAAATTATAGAATCACAGACCTGTTCAAATGGACTTTTCGTCTTAATTCCTTTTCCACCGCAGAAGACCCAGTTGTCTCTGAAGCCAAGGTTAGTAATGGATGTGCTTCCTAATTCAGCAATCAGTTTCCGTGCTTCCTCATTAAGCCTTGAGCAAAACAGAGAAGTCCAGTATGTGAATAAGATACGCGCCCTTAGAGCTTTCACTGTTCAACCATTCAGCTTTAATCTGATTAAATATAGTTTAAGTCAGTCAATATTGGGCAAGACCTACCTTTCAAAATCAGATAAGGCTAGTTCTGAAATCACCCGATCTAATAAGCACTGCTCTTTAATATTATAATCTCAAGGCACCAGCACACAAACCTATCGGTACACCAACAAAACCCAAGAACCCTCTCCTCTGAGGATTTAGACATACATCTCAAGTCCTGTTAGCAATTCTCCAAGCAACTAAAAAAGTTAACCTTTAAAGTAAACATTGTTTGCAGGCTCAAGCTGAAGTCTCGATAAAGTAAAAGGTATTTCAGATTAGAAGAATGACCTAAACGTATGAAAGAAGTTCTTGTCTGCTTGGGTCTAATTCAGAATTCAGAATGCTGCCCCACGGCACGGCTCAGTGCCTGCAGGTCCAAGCAGGAAAATTTTAGTATGGAAGGGAAAATGATTTTGTAAGGTAAGTTATCATTCCCAGACCTCCAAATAACAGCTCTTTACTTCCTTTCAGTTACTAGATTTGCCCGATTACTAAACACCACACACAACTTCTGATTATTACTACTTGCTGAGATATAGTTGTTTAGACTCACTTTTGCTAAAATTATGAAAATTATTAAGTAATTTGGAGGATATTTGCACAACCTATAGCCCAAGATTTTAGAGCATTAGGGTGGCTTATAGTTAGAAAAAAATAAAAATAAAAATATTTCATCTTTTAAACATGACGGTTCTTCACAATTTTAATTATTTTCAAGAACTGGCATTTATGGTTTTGGCTAATTATGTAATACCAGTAATAAGCAGTAGTCCCTGGCTGTCGGCATGAATAGGCCAAATTCACCTTCTTGTTTAGTTGGCATTGTATCTACATATAAGCTTTCAAAAACATCAGCTGTGAGATGGTTATTGAAACAAACTAACTGTACTTACTATTTGAAACACCAAAGAAGAAAGGAAAAAGCAAAACGAAAAGTAGTAAAACAAGTGAAAAAAACGACAGAAGACCCAGCCTTGGCATAAAGAAATATTAATTTGGTTTCTTCTCCTGAAAGCATTGAGTGTACAGACACTCAACTATTTCCTGCACATACAGCACATTGCAAAGACCAGACTTTGTCACAGGAAAGCTGCTCCTGTATCAAAAAAATACAGACAAGTTGTGGATAACAAACTGAATGAAAAGCGGGGAAAAAAAAAATAATATACCAAACACATCAGCAAAAAGTTAAATATTATTAAAACAGGGGAGGAAAAGGAAAAAAACACAACCCTTTTTATTTTCACTATGAAGAGCAATCCTTTGGATAGGATGACTTCAGTGCGAAGTAGATTACGATTACAACACAAATTTTAAAGTATATTCTAGTATCTATTAAAGCTGACCAAAGTTGAGAAGATTGGAAGATAATGCTGAAAGAGAACGAAAACCTCTTAGGCTATGGCTACTTTAATAAATTAAAAAGCTTTAGCGTGGAACAGTCCAAACACTGAGGCCAAAAAGTGCAAGTTGCACACTAGTAACCTCTCAGACTTCAAAAGGAATGATACGGGCCAATTGGAAATGGGCTCTGCATTCCTGTAACCACCAAACTCTTCTCAGATCAGCTCCAAGATACAGTGCTGGATGGAACAGACCAATCTGCACGAGAGTATATTCTCACAGTCATGTTCCTGTATCTGGACATATCTGAAATTACTAGCATAAGACAGGATGAGCTATCAGCAATAGGAAAACCAAAACATCTCCAAAAAGACAGACTTCTCTGGCAGCGTACATTAAAAAAAAAAAAAAAAAAAAAAAAAAAAGAGGTGGGGACAAGTTCTAGGACAGCGGCTAGAAACTTGCAGGGTCTTCAGGAACTGGGGAGGATAAGGGTATGGTTTAAAAAAAAAGTACAATGCTTGACATAGCCAGAGTAAGCAGTTTGTTGGACTGACGATATGCCCTACATTGTCTTCTGGTTACATTAACATCTTTCCTCAAAAGAACAAAAAAGCCAGCTAATGAGCCAACTACTAACCTCTAGACTTTTCAAACTTTCAAACACTTGGGATATTTCTGCTAAAGGGTCTAATTTAATATCTCATTTATTGTTTCTCTGTTGTTGGAATCACAAAAGTATACACCTAACAGTCCTCTACGTAAATACATATATAACCCATTACACCCAGTTAGCTTTAATTTGATCCTTGTTGTCACCAAGTCACATCAACATAATAAAACTGAAAGCACAGTTTCAAATCCACAATCTTGGAAAAACAAAACTTAATCAAAAGTGATTATGTGATAAAGAATGCATTTTTTTCTAGTATAAAACAGCATTTAAAAGTTTAAGCGATATTTACTATGTAAATCAATTACATACTTGGTTGCACCATCATCATATGTTCCCATCAACACTATCGTTCCATCCTGGATGGACTTCAGAAAGTCAATAAATGGTGCCACATCTGAAAAGAGAGAGAACACAACACTGTTTAATAACACACAGCCATTCCATATTTAAACCCCTGCAATGCCTTCATGCAAAGACATTCCTTTTAAGGATATCTGTAAATGTACTTATAAATTCATAAAAAGATGCTCAGTGGGAGAAAGATAAAATGCATCAGAGAGAACTCTTTGATTTTACAGAAAGAGTTTCACCCGTACTGTGTAAAGACATAACCACCAGTGGGAACTACTGAGAGAACAATGAGTGTGATTAACCATCCCATTCCCTCCCACCTCAATTATTTGTGCTTCTTTAAAGTTGCACTCCCCTCACAATTACAGAGGTAGAGGCGAAGCACTCCCTTAGCTATCACCTAAAAGTGCCACAGCAGATGGAGCCAGGAGAAGGGGGGAGAAAAAAAAAAAAATAAAGAAGAGAGATATTTAAGTTGTTTGTCTCTAACCAGCTAAGGTGACTGCTCTTACCTCCTCCCCACATGTCAAAGAATTTAGTATCTAATGGTTCTCCTGTTTTACCTGGAGAAAAAGAAATATTTGGTGTCATCAAATTTTGCTTCAAGTGGATACAAAATAAAAGAAAAAGCCCACAACCTCTAAAACCAATAAAGAGAACTCACTTCATAATTTGCCTTTTTTTAAAAAAAAAGTTCTTTTGGAAAAACAGATAATACAAGTATAGGTTGCCTTTAGTGCCACATGGAAAGGAAGAAAGATTAAAATTGCACTGTATGTTTTGCTATAGACTGGAAATTCTTATTCGATTTAAACAGAACAAATAGAAGAAAGTGGACAATGCAGTAATCTCATTACCTTGCTTTTTTTCCTGCTATGCTGTCTATGAAGGCAGCGTTTGATGGAAGGTAGAGTTTTCTTCTGAATACATACATTTAAAGTTTGGGAGACAGGGAGAAAGACTGGCAGCTACATAATACAAAGACACGTATTTTGGTTCTGAACAGATTGAGACAATTTAGGAGGGCAAAACAGGATTAGGTAAGTATTGTTCAAGTCATGCTTTAGATGACATAAACCTGAGTGCAATCCAAAAATAACATGAATTTATATTACAGTTAAAAGACACAGTGCTGTATCACTGCTATAAGGAATTGCATCCTACACATTAAGGATAAATCTGCCAGCCCTGATGTTCAGTTCAGCTTTCAAGGTGATAAAAGTGACACACAGGTAAAAATTGTGTGGTTTTTATAAAAGTTAAGAATCCTGAACACAACTACATAATGTGATGTATTAAGGGACAAGATCTATAGATATGGACTAATTACATGTATCAATTTCAAGCAAGGAAATAATGAGCTGGTCTTTCCGTCTAGAAACAGAATTGTTAAACAAGTTTCACTGAGAAGAGATCAACAGAAGAATTTAGTCTAAAAAGTTTTATTAGTGATGGCACCACACTAAGTCAAAAGTATGTGTCTCATGTCCTTTTCCATTTTATATGTACATTAGGAATTTATCTGATGTATCACTGAGATAATGTGGAACGCTGTGGTGACCATTTTTACCACACATTTTTAGAAACAAAAGCATACTTTGTTTTTCTACTTTCTGATAAGAAGGTTTAAGTTCCAAGATCTGATATTGTCTCGGTATAAATATGCTGAATGTTTCCTTTTCTCCTCCTGCTTGCCTTTTACCACCCCTTAGCATTTCACCTTAAATTTTGGAAACAATTTGAAAATGAAGACAATTTGCTCACTTAAAATGCCACTTACCATTGACCAAGGCCACGTTTATTCCTCTGCCAACATTATTTTTAACTCCACTCATTAAACTGAAACAAAAGAAACAATTTTATTTTTAATAGGACAATTTTCTGATGTGAAATAGTTCTGATTTTTAAATAGGACCAATCAAATTTTAAGAGACACATAGTTGAAAGACCACATGTTCATTAGTACTTATACAAAACAAAATCTCCTTGAACTAATCTGAACAGAGAACTATAGACTGACTATCCCCAGTTGTATCCATTTCATTTGCTCACTTAATCATCTTGGATTCAAAGCATGCATGTATATTTAAAGTGTCACAAAAAATAAAGTGCTATTAATGTATTTAAGAAGATTCCTTGCAATTAAAGAACCTGAAACAAATAATAATTTGAGGAGCTTAGCAGAGTCACGTAACCAACATTTAATGGGTTTTTTTTGTAAGTAAATGAGGAACAAAAATGTGTTAATGAGTTTAAAAGCTAACCGAACAAAATTAATTAGCTAACTAACAGAATTAAAAGCTAAGTGAATAAAATTAGTATTATAGCATCACACTAAGAAACAAGAAAGCCAAAGCAGTTAGCTGCTTGTACCTGTAATAGGACACCTAAATCAAAGAAAAATAGTTAATACATAGACAGGACTTTATGAAAAGTTGAACATAAGCTTGGAGTATGGTTACACATTCCAACAAAACTATCACAATCTGTGACAGCAACTACTTGGCCAAGCTCGGACTGACAAAGCAGCTGGGAAGAAGAGATGTCCTGTGAAATGGAAGCCCTTCAGAGCTGTAAAGAGGAGCTAATGGGGATGTTAAGACTGTTGGGCAGGATGCTGTGCTGCCTTGGGCCATGGTGCATGTACCACTCCAGTGAGAGAGAGCTTCCAGACCTCCTTGTTCCTTTTCACTAGCACTGTATAAAGATCTCTGTTCTGCTTCCAGGCCCCAAATATCCAGCATTAGCATTTTGAAGGCGAAAGTAAAAGACAGAAGGAGAAATAGGAGTAATAGTTGAAACAATTACATAAATTAAGGTAACGAGCCTCCAGCTGAGATTCAAGAAAGCACCTCAGTGTAAGCATATAGGTGGACATATCTCGTCAGTTACAAATACACTCTAACAGATGCTTTAAAATCAATTCTGATCAGGATTTCTTCAACTTCCGTAGGTTGCTCTAGGAAGGGGCTGCAGATCTGTAAAATCCTGTTACATTCAAAACTTTTTTCACATTTCCTCTGCGACTATCTGATTTTCAGGTCATGTCTAAACATCCGTTCTAAGCAACAATTTGAAGGAGTGCATCTTTACACACACAACTGCAACACCAGCTCTCTCATGCTAACTTAATAGGGGTTGGCTAGAAACAAGTAATGGTCTATTACTGAAGTATGACAAAAGTCTTCCCCTCTGATGCTATCTTTTGCACCCAGGATGAAGAAAGAAGGCCAAATTTAGAGGAATGTCAAATTTAATAGACAACTATCAGGAACAGACTCAGTATTAGCTAGTTCAGAGAGGCCGTGCAAGTTAATGGTAACTCTTGGCACAGTGACTTCAGCTTTAAAGAACTAGTAATCAGAGATGAGAGAGTTCATTCTTCTTCTCTTAGTCCTCTAAGTTATACCATCTGTCAAGAAATCTGATTAAAACTAAAACTCCAATTCAATGACTTCTGAAACAGAAGACTTGACAATTTCTGCTGAAATGCAGAATTTAGTTCTGGTGAATAAGGAACTCCAGAAGTATTTCTTCTCTGATCATATGATTTTTATGTCATGTCTGAGCATCCTTCTGACTAATAAAAACATATGGCAAATAAAGACTGAAAACATACATGAAAAAAGGCAGTGAAATTCTGAACACAATCCTTTGCTTATATAAAATTTAGTGGACATTTAATTTACCAAAAAGAATGAGAACTTCCTTTTAATTTAACTACAAAATTCTCTGTAAATAAATACCAGTCAAAAAATATCCTGGGTGACTAGATGCTGAAAATCTACATATACATAACAAAAGTTATGAGGGATTTCAGACAACGTAAAAATCTTGCAAATATGAATACAAGAATTACTAGTTATTAAAGGAATGCAGTGGAACATTCTGCTAAAAGGTTATAGTGTCACAATCATTCAACTTGTTTCTTAATAGAAATAAAACTGCATAGAGATGTTGCTAGTAAAGAAGTATAGTGATAGCACCCTTTTTCTAAAAAGCCCATGAAGTATTAACTACAATATTTATTAATTTGATGATGGCTACAGTTTGTTCTTTCTAATTTGGATTATGTCCTTCCAATATAGGAGAACAAGGCTATAACTGAACTTCTATACAACAGAATTCTTATTTCACACCAAAATCTCTATATAAGAGAAAAGTTGCAAAATTAAATGCATTCTGAATTTGGGAGCACCTTTACTGCTCCCATAAACCAAGTCACATCCTTATGTTTAATACACAGCAAAACCAACTATGTTGTAAATATCTTTGACAAGTTATGAAAACTTATCCCTGCTTCCTTGTCTTGGAAGTATGAAGAACAAAGACTAATCAAAAAAAAGCATTTTGCAGGAGCGAGTTCACAAAATATCACTAAAAAAAAAAAAAACTACCGAAAAGGAAGTAAGTTCTTCTAGAGCTGTGAGAAACTACTCTAGACACTGGAGAGAGCTTGTGCACCAAGTCACACACGCTGCAGGCTGTAATGTGACAGCTTTCTCACAGGAGGGCAGTCGTTCCTCAGTTTTAGAATTCTTCCCACAATTTACAATCAACAAGTTATGGCAGCTTTTGGAAAAGAAATCAAACATCTTAGAAGCAAAGCAGGAGGTAATATAAAATTAATCTCATTTTCTGGTGGACATTTAAATAGGCATTACAAGTCCTCCTCAGAAGGAATTGAGAAAGACTTTTGCCACAGGAAGTTGGACTTAAGACTCCAATAGCTGCCCACTAAGGTGTGCGCTAGTATTACAAGAATACTAGAGGATTACTTGCCCACAACTACTGCCTTTCCCTCACTTTCTTCAGTGAAATACTCAGTAGAGGATGTTTTGGTGTGATTTTCTTTTCTTTTGGATTTTTGGGGGGTTTTTTTGTTTGTTTTGTTTTGGGTTTTTTTTTTAACAGGAATAACAATGGCCCAGAGAAGCTGTGGATGCCCCATCCCTGGAAGTGTTCAAGGCCAGGCTGGATGGGGCTTTGAGCAACCTGCTCTAGTGGAAGGTGTCCCTGCCTGTGGCAGAGGGGTTGGAACTCGATGATCTTTAAGGTCCCTTCCAACCTGAACCATTCTATGATTCCGTGATCTCTTCTTAGTTAACCAGTGAGACATTAAAAAAAAAAAAAAAAAAAAAAACCAAAACAAAACCCCCCAAAAGCTATACAATCCTGAAGTTAAAGTTTTGCTTGCACTCACACAACTTCTAGTCAGTCAATCACCTCAAGTCTTCACAGACACTTCCTAGCAACCGGAAGGAGACTGTAGCAGATTTTGCAACACCAATAAAAAAAAACCACTCAGAGAGATTAGATAAGAGTGTCCAAGGTCACAAAGTGAACCAACGACAAGAATGGAAAGCAGAACCCAGTGGCTTTCCATCCCTTCGTGCCAACGGTGCGCTCACGCTCCCTTGGCACGCGCTCCCCGACCGCACCGAGATGCTCCGCTGCAAACCCACTCCCACACAAACCACCCAGCTGGAGCCAAAGGGAAGGGCTTGAGATCTGAAGGGGGCTCGTGGTTCTACCCGAAACACGAAGCAAGGAACCTGCATGTGTTTAGTTGTCAAGGAAAAGAGGCTCCCACTTTAATTTCGCTATGTCTTAATTGCTAGTTAGTGCTAAAAATATAATCTTATCTTCAAGATCACGTAAAACTAATCTTACTCTCTAAAGTAACTCTGTAAAGCAATGGAAAACATAAACCAATTCCTTTTTATAGGTTAATGAACCTGTTTACTATATTACATGGGGTTCTGCTGTCCCCAGTGAAGTTGCCGTTTGCTCTATAATTCACTAGTACCAACTGCTGTAGGTGCTGTCTGAGCCACTCGGTACTAACAGAAACACCTGCACTGGAGTAGTTTAAATGAAAACAGAAGACAAAGGTTTGTAAATGTGACTGATGTTTTAAAAAAAAAAAAAAAGACCTCCTGACAACACTAACATAATGTCTTTTCTGACAAGTGACATGCAAAATTGAGTGGATAGATTATGTTATACAAAGCTGCACACACTGGGAGAAAATGAGCAGAACAACCTAAGAGCAAAGAAACAAAGTCTAAAAATAACTATTAATAGCCCCATTATGGGGATTACTTAAAGGGAATTCAGTTAAATACTCTAGGCACAGTATTATTGTTAATACTGTGTTAAAAATACAATTATTAGAAATACAGAACTTAAAAACCAAACTGTCTCAAGCAGTCTCCTCATTTCACAATTACTTTAACTGTATTGACTTTAGTTACCATCAGCACAATTAAGTAACTACTGATCACTAAAATACTATTTCTCCCTTTGAAGTCATCCTTTAAAGAAAAGTGGGAAACATATTCTGACACTAGTACTATGGGAATAGATAGTTTAAAAGATGACTTGCAAAAGAATTTCACAGCACAGTTTAAGCTGATGACATTCAGTTAGAAGTATCAAGAATAATTACTTGAAAATACAATTGTTCATTGAATTACTATTACAAGCACAAGAACAAGTTACTTGGAGACAAGTCTGCATCTGACTTGACAAAACCTAACTATATCATAAGCCCGTAAATCTGAAATAATGTGTAAGCTATCCTGCATGTATTAAAATAGCGTACATTTATGAATTTACTGCAGAGAACCAAGTGTGCTTCATCAGAGATTAAATATAATTTTCTCATGTGGTCAAACCGTTGGTAAAACAAGACCTACAAAGAATCACTTAAACATCTGATCTTTTGTACAAAGCAATACTAGTCAGCATTTGAAAGAGATACTTAAAGAAAACAGGTAAAAATACTCACACATTATCTTCTACACAAATTTTAGGTCCAACTACATTTGCTGCTCCACTTGCCATTTTGAATGCAAAATGCTTTTCAGGACAAGCTTTAGAGATCCCACATTTGTACCTTGGAGGTTTTGTAGCTTTCATAAGGAAATAAAATAGGATTTTAGAGACAACACCACAGGCAGGTTAAGAGAAGCATCAGTCAGTTTGCTGAAAGAATGCAAGGAAAAGAACAAAGACAAACAGTATCTCACATCCACAATTTCACAGCAGCTTAACATAATCTAGGCTCCTCATTATTCCACTTCTTATTCTCACCCTGCTGCTTGCTCTGGGACTGTCATCAAAAGCCACAAGACAAAACTACAAGTGAAATGCTGGCAAAAAACAGGCTTAACCAGAAATTTAGGAAAATCAGGAAAAGAGGAAAATTAGTTTCTGATTGCATTTAGAATGTAATTAAGACTTTCTTAACTAAGAAAATTCAGCAGTCCTTCTGTTATTGCCAAAAGCAAGTCAGAGCAGTAACACATGCATATGAATACTCACAGTGTGCAGCTGCATCCAGTGCTGACCTAGCTAAAATGCAAAAAAAGTTTTACAAGATGTTACTATTAAAGTTGTCACCCGCTATAAAAGATCCTACCAAGTTAAAACCTTTCTGTACCCCTACAAAAACAGGTTGGTTGAAGTATCAAATACATCCAAACATTATGTTCCTATATAAAATATTAACTTTTACACAGTAGAAGAATGAAAGCGATTAGGGACTTATTACAAGAGTAGGCTAAATATTTCATACAGAAAATAACTTAATGCACACATTATGTATGTATACTATACATAGAAAAATAATGAGAAGTACACACATTAGAAATAAAAACAGAATTCTTAAGTGTAAGAGTTTAAGACAAGCTTAAAACAAAATGAATTCTATTCTCAATTATGGCTCAACTAAATATTAATAGATGTCTGGAGAAGAGAGTCATCACTTACCAAATATGTGTCCTAAGTTTGCATCCATTTTTATTTCAAACACTTGAGATATGACATAAAACGTCAATAAAAATATCGCCACGACTACTACCAACTTGGCAGCACCTATTCAGAAGCAGAGAAAAGTTTCAAAAAAATTATCTGCAAATGATAACATTCAGCTTACCAAAATTAACTACACGAGAAACATGTATCAGATTACATTAAGAGAAACTCAGAACCAGGATGATCATTTGTGGACTCGCTGAACAGAAGTAATCTGTGAGAAATAGACATTATAACGTAGGGTGCAACTGAGCCAGCCCAGCAGGTTACCACACCAAATTCTTGGTGTAGCATTTCAGCTTTCCCCAGCTTCATGCTGGTCTGACACCAGAGTACACCGACTCAGCTCAGCAGCCAGCACAAACCACAGAGTCTCCTATGGAAATCCAGCCTAACAAAATGACCTAAGCTGCCCTAACTGGCTGCTGTACAATGGGGAAATGGCCAGTTTCCCCCATCCCACTTCCCTGTTCTTAGGCATGTTTCCTCACTGATCACAAACACTCCTCTCTGTCTCCTCCCAACTGAGATATTTCTATTTTAATGTTTGGCCAAGACTGAGTAGGGATCTGTTCATACACTGTGGCTTGGCTTATCTCATCAGTCAGGTGTCAACGTTTTATTAAAAAAAAAAAATGCCCAGAAAACACCAAACAAACAAAGCCTCCTTTCCAACAAATTTAAATGAGTGACCATCAAAAAGCAAATTTGAAAACTCAAGAGAGCTACTTCAAAAACAAATAAAAAGCAGTACTTTCCCTTTTAATATGTTGAAGCCACAGGTAGCTCTAAGTTTTACAAGCCCAACTTTCTCCAGTGCTGAGCGCTCAAACTACCTGCTGGGAGAAGAGCTGGAAGCACAATCACAGCAATTCACAGCTGAAATGGAAGCTCAGGTGTATGTGGTACTGCTGTGAACCCTGCCAGTTTTTAGCATAATTTTGATTAGATTTCTACAGAATACTCCACTTTTAGCTTATTGTAAAATACTGAAAGCAGAAGTTAGGTGAGGAGGCATCTGATCAACATCCTGCCTTCCTGTCTCACCATAGTATGTCAAACTGTATGGAAGAAGCAACCTTGCAGCATGCTTCTCTTTCTCAGATTGCCAGCCAAATAAACCTTTCAGAAAAAACCCCAAACTTATGTAACTCCTGCAGATCTCAGACTGCTGCTGTGATGGGCTGTTCAGAAAACCTGAAAATAGACAGATTACTCAGCCTTCAGAGGGTTGAGAGATGCTAATCAATCCTTCCAAAAGGCTAAAAAAAGATCAGGGGATAGAAAAAGAAAAGGAAGATGAAAAAAGAGAGAGAACTTTCTTGTTTGCTTGTAGTTCGGTTCTCCTCTCCCACTTTCCCTTTTCAGGTGTGTGAACACATACATACTGTGTAAGAAAACACAGACACAAACTTAATTTTAAAATATTATGCTGGAACTCCAGGGATTGTTGCATTCGAAGCGAAGTGAACCATGTGTAAGCACTAGACAAAACAGATGATCTGAACATACGTTAAGAAGTGGAGAAAAGGTTTTCAAAGCAACACTGCTTAAGAAGACAAGATGGCACCAGGTTTTGGAATGTGTAACCTAGCAAGTGGTAGTTGGAGAGCATGGTGTTTCAGCAGACAGTAGGTGTGATGAACGAGAACTCAGCCCGAGCAGCAACCACCCCCTCCACTCCATGTCCTTTCAACTGAACTGTGAGCGCTCCCTCTAAGGGAGAGGTAGGAAATCTCCTAGAAAATTCTTTTAGCACTTGAACCAGAACCAGCCTGTTTGCCACAGGTTAAACATTCTACAGGAACTGCCATACCTTCTTTGTCTATGGCTTTTAGCAACAAAAGCATTTAGGTGGAAGAAGAAAAAAAAAAAAAAAAAAGGAAAAAAGAGAGATTTGGAAAAAATTGCAGCATTTTCCAGTTTATTATCAGATTTACTTTGGCAGATTGCTCCCAGTTATACATATTGAGGTTAATAAAACCACTTCAGTAGTGACAAAAATAATGACTAATGCATTAACAAGGTTAATGTGCAACTCTCCTGGAAAAAAAAGTGTTATTCTTTCCTAAAAGAGCCAACAGTTGCTTCTTCTGCGACGTAATGCTGCAGCTATTGATAAGAGTGCAATGCATCAGAAACTCTAAACTATTCCAATCATCACACAGGCTATTCTCTTGCAAGGAAATGTCTAGAATAATATTTTTTGGTAGTGTTATATTGGGTAAGATCTTATTTTTACAACCACTACACCTTCTGTCAAGTAAAATCAGTTGCTCAGACCCTGTACCACAGCTAACTTACCTCTATGAAAAAGCTTTTTAGAGCTTTCAAACTCCCAGTAACCATTCAGAAGGTTTCAGGCACTATATTATAATGGTACATAGCACTTTTGATTGGGGTGTAAGGCAGGGAAGAAATTGTTTATAACATAATTGGCCATTTCCTTATTCCTATCTTACAGAATTAGCAGCCAAGGTACATCAAGTCATGGCAACTTAGCCATCAGATCAGCTGAAGCGTTTTAAACCAGCTGCTTGCTCTTAGAACCATCCCAATTTCCAAAATGAGTTTCATTAAACATTAATTAAATGGAAGAGCAATGCCTGTTACACCACTCAAGCTTCTCTTAAGACCTTATTGTCACAACTTGTTAGTGCTGTCTAAAGCATTTCTTTGATAAGCGACAAAAGTCTGATTTTACTGAGCGTACTTACCTGCTATTCTCATGTTTAGTCTTCAGCCAGCTAATGATGCTACTGCATTAAAAAACAGCCACCTAGGGAAAAAGAAAAGCACATAATTGTAGTTACAGCCAAATAAGCACTTTTGTGATGAGTTAACAGTAAAAAACTACCTAGATTTTCTAGCCAATAACATTAACAATGGTTTTCCTCAATACCTAATTCTTAATGCTCACTTTAAAGAAGATTTAAGATGGATTTCCGATGTACTGCTTTCATTTGTTACTCCATGAAACAAACGTTCTGAAAAAATATTAATTTAATTTTGTCAAATCCACTATAAATTCTGTTCAGCTGTTAGCCCTTCAATGTGTGACATAAGTATTAATCAGCGCCGCATCTAAACAATCTTTGATTTCCTAAAGCTATGTGGTTAAAAGTCATCAGCTCCATCTGCACTGCTTCAAGGTCCTACCAACTTTTGGATTCAAGTTGTTACTTGGCAACATGACATAGCAAAGTATGCTTTAGAGAGAAAACATCTAATCATTTTGGCCTTTGAACTGAAAGCAGGTTATTCTAATAGTTTTATTTATTCGTTACAGAAATGTAATAAACACAATGGTCACTTATCGCAGCATCCAGAAGATTATGTGATGGTCAATGGTGACATGAGCACCAACCCTAGAGCTGAGACTATTTCTGAATAAACTGAAAACCATTGCCTATGAGCAAACACCACACAAGCACCCAAAAGATTCTTCCTGAGAAGAACTTGCCACCACGTAAAGTCAAAACAGACTCTGCTCAAAGGCTACCACCTCCTTCTCAAGCACTTCCTTGTCTCTGGGCTGTACCAAATCTTTTGCCCTCTGCCTGCAGAGCCAGACCATTGCTGGTGGCTCTGCATCATGGTCACGCTCAGCCACGGTGGGACCACACTGGGACCACACTGCACTGAGCCCAGACAGCTTCTGTCTCGAGTTTTCCCCTACTCCCAAGTCAAGAAGCACAGAGGAAAGATGACCACATACAGACAACTCGGCACCCTCAGCACTGACGTGGTATCTATGCAAATCAGGTTCTGCAAACCTTGCAATCTTTACTAATGAAACACTACATATCTATTAGAAACACATTAATTTATTTTAAAACATCTGAGTAGATTAAGCACATTTTTTTTTTAAATTAACTGAAATAAGAATTTGCTTTAGAACAGTTCAGGTAGCGTACTGTTTTATCTCATTTCTTCTGTTCTTATCATCATAAATAACAAAGAGCCCTCAGCTACTTTTGAAAATACATGAGGCATTCAGACAAATAGCAGTCTGTAATCAGTACCTCCCTTCTGGACTAAAAAATAATAATCTATTTCTGAATTTGCATTTTGCTGCGTAACTATTTACATTTAATACAGCAAAACTATTGGTATTCAGGGATCTTGCTGGACCATCTACACCAAGGCCCAATTTGGAAACGTAATAAACTATCCTTCTAATCCAAGTAGCCGTCCCACACACCCATCACAAAAGCTACAGCATCCCTACGCTCTGCAGCTCTATGCCATGATTTCAAGAACCACCAAAAACATGATCTTTAGAAATTATTTGAAAAACTACTCTCATTGGAAATCTGGAAAATGCAAATCATTTGGAGAACACCACCACATGGGTCTCAGGGCCTATGCTAGGGAAGAAAATTGGGTGTTACACAAGCAACCTTGTGCCTTCACTCAACTCAGTACCTGTAAGTTCAGTGATTTGTGTCCAGACCCTCTTTGCCAAAGACATGGTCATTGTGCTCTACTGCTTAAAGTTCCCAATAAAATGGTTATCAGAGAAATAATCAGGAAAAATCATTTATCAGTACAGAAATATTTATTTCTACTCCATAAGAATTTGAAAATAAGTAATAATAAAGTTTGAAAAGCAGCCAAATGTTTTTGAACACTGAGGTTGTACTACAAGGGAAATCTCATGGCATATTACGAACATAATATATCCATTATATTTAAAGCCACATATATTATATCCATATATTGTATCTTCTTCCAGCGAAAGGCTAATTTTTGTCTGTCTTACGAAAAGGCAAAAAGAATCTACCAGTGCAAATAAACCCATTTTATTTCAAAGTCTGTGAACAGAATTATTCTAAGCTCCTTTTTTTCCTCTCTCCTCCCCACCTCCGGAAATATATCAACATTAAAATAAACACCATCTGTAGTCTGAACGACCACGAGCTTGTTTTAAGTCAGCACTGGAAAAAAAAAAAAAAGTTTCTTCTTTTTGTTTTACTATAAACAAAACCACATAATGAATTCAAAGCATGAAAGCGCAAGTACGAACAAAACCTAAAAACAAAACCTAAGTGAAACAATCACACCATCCCACTTTGACTGCTGAATGCCTCTACCCCAAGAGCCCCATCCACGCCTCTCAGCGATGACTATTTGCTGCAATCAACAAATACACAACAGAGAAGATGCATTTTAAGCGTGAAATGTTTTTGAATTAGAAAAAGTAAAAATTACTATATTATGCCTCAACTTGAAAGGAATTTTTAAAATGATAGAGAGATTCTTTTCCTAAACTACAGCATCCCCAAAAAAATTGTGGGTTTTGATCTAACAAATAAATACAGGAATGGTACAGTGCAGATAAATATTGTACAGCATTTTCCAGCTGCAACAGCATAATTTACAAACGCCAAGTCCTACCTCTATACAGTATTATCTTAGAATAGTTTTTAATTCAAGACAGAACAGGAATAAAATAGGTCAGGCCATGAGCCCTCACAAATGCTTATAGACCAGTACTCCACATCTTCATATTAGACCTCAAAACTGGAATTACGGAAGTGATATAAAAACGGATTTAGAATTTTTAAGAGTGTGTATCTTCAAGACCCACCTGGATGCAGTCCTGAGTGATGTGCTCTGGGCAACCCTGCTTTGGCAGGGGAGTTGGACTAGATGATCTCTAGAGGTCCCTTCCAACTCTGACAATTCCATGATTCCGTATATTTTAGGATCATTTAAAAAACAAGTAACACAGGGCAACTGAGCTTGCTCAGGCTCAGATGCACAAAAACAGTAGCGACAAGATTCCTTTAAGAATGTGCTAAAAAGCCCCGAAGACTATTTTTCTCCTATTTGACATAAGATTCATTAAGCAGGGACAGCAGAATTACAATCATGGAATCATAGAATGGTTTGGGTTGGAAGGGACCTCAAAGATCATCTAGTTCCAAGCCCCCTGCCATGGGCAGGGACACCTCCACTAGACCAGGTTGCTCAAAGCCCCATCCAGCCTGGCCTAGAACACCTCCAGGGATGGGGCATCCCCAACTTCCCTGGGCAACCTGTTCCAGTGGCTCACCACCCTCACAGTAAAGAATTTCTTCCTAATATGTAAACTAAATCTCCCCTCTTCCAATTTAAAACCATTACCCTATGTCCTATCACTACACTTCCTGACAAAGAGTCCCTCTCCGGCTCTCCTGTAGGCTCCCTTCAGATATTGAAGGTCTCCCCGGACCCTACTCTTCTCCAGGCTGAACAACTCCAGCTCTCTCAGCCTGTCCTCATAGGAAAGGTGCTCCATCCCTCTGATCATCTTCGTGGCCCTCTGCTGGACCTGCTCCAACAGATTCATGTTCTTCCTGTGTTCAGGGCTCTGAAGCTGGACACAGCAGAAAGGAACCAAAAAATGCCTAACGTGCAGCATCAAGCGTCTTGAAATAAGAAGCAATCCACAGAAAAACCTAAAACCAGTGCCTTCAGATGCTGGTTTTCCTCTACATCAAAAGAGAAAGCAAGTTGTTACTCCCCGGGGTGGCATACTGAAGGGAGATGCAGCAAATTGCAGGTTTTCATCTATCACAGACAGCAGTAAAGGTGTTTTACATCAGACAAATCTCAGTTACAACCAGCACAGTCAAATATCTGCACATGGCACATGCATTTTTTCACAAGATGAACACCACCGTGAATTTCAGCTATTCTATTAAACTTCCAATATTCCTATTTGTCAAAGGAATCTTGTGCAATTCTTCATGAGGCTGGAGGAGTATGCTCTCCTTTTTCTATGATCTCACTCATTGTGAAAGATGTGGGTGGACATGTCTTCTCCCAGCAACGACCACAAGTGTCCAAGAGCTTTCTGAACCCTGCTGCCTGTTATCGCCAGTTTGCGGGAGCCGGTGCTCAGGAGAACAATCAGTGGCAAGACGTTCAGACCTCTCAACTACAGGAAGCCATACCCACATCCTGAATGAAGAGCAGAAAACTTATAGAGAGGTTATGGTCTACAGGCCAGTAGACTCAGTAGCCGGTGGGTATTTTTCTTATAAGGCTTCGATGATGCTAACCTTCAACCGAGCTCCACCAGCCAGACACGCTGGTCCAGCAAGATGGAAAAATTCCAGTGTGTAAAGCTGTGAAATACTGAGTAGGAGAAAACAAAGAAAAAGAGAATGTTTTGTTAAACTCATGTGGAAAGTTCTCTTTGAACTGACAGAACATGAGGGACTCAACAAGAAAAGTAAGAGAAAAATCATCAGACAAGCCAGAAACTGGTGCTGCCGTATTAACAAGTTCAGAAACTGCTCTTTCAGCACAGTCCAGTGCACAGCTTGCTCATTTCCCTCAGGAACAGAAAGGAAAAGGTAGAGAGCTCACTGAACCAGAGAAGACAAGAAGTTACAGGATATAAATCCTTTCTGAACACTGGCACATCATTGTCCAATTCGCTGCTCGGAGTTGAGCGTCTATCCATGCAGAAAAAAGCTATTTATTCTGGATGCAAACTCCTAGGGAGTGGACGTGTGGAAAGACAGTTGGGAGCTGAGGTTACTGGTTGCCTTTGTTTTTTTCACTCCACCCATCCTTGTGCATTGTATTTTGTCCCAAAGCATGGGCAATTTCCAGATGTTGTGAATTCCAGTGCCAGAGCCATTCCAAGCAATCCCGATGACAGCCCATAATGCTATACGTAGGGTGCCATAACTGAAGTAGAAGAAAACCAGAAAACACCAGCTTACACGAAAAAAGGAAGAGAGAAAAGGGGTTTCCCCCACTCTGCTCCACTTATTAACT